AATATCCTCCATTCCTGCATTGTGCTTCACAAATGAAATGATTTCAAATTTCCTGAGGCTGTTGCAATCCGTCAAGAATTTGTGAAGATCTACAGTGGAACTGTCTCCTAAAAGAAGCATTCTAGGTTGATTGGTGCTCTCATAACTTTCCTTATTATTTGTGCAAGCCTTCTCGTCTGTTACTTTTCCTAATTCTTGACTCTCCTTTTGGCTCTCTTGTTGACCGGTTAACATTTGAGTGATCAAAGTAACTGAGTCAGAGAGCCATTGTTATCCAGAAGGCTGTTTCTTAAAAGAAAAAGTTCATTCTGTACATTTTTGTAATCCTGCATATAAACTTCATTGTCCTGTGTTAAAGTTCTGATTGTAGACAGTAAGTCGTTCTTCAAAACGGTTAATTCTTTGACGTCTGTCTCCAGTTTTTCAATTTTATGTTTGGTTTCAAGTGCGTTCTTTAGCATATCGTCAATTTTCCGTGACAGCTCTATGTTGTCCCCATTGAGATTGCATATCTCTGCCTTTCTCTTCTCTATCTCTCTCCTATAGCTTTCTTCGGCTGCAGAAACGTCATCCTCGAAGTCAATTGTTCGTCTTTGTAGTCGCTTTAAACACTCTTCAACGCTGCCCTTTTCTTGCTTCAAAACCTCATACTCCTCATTAATTTCTCTGATTTGGCAATGCTGGTCCCTAATAGTTTGTTCCATTTTCTCCATTTCCTGTCTCAAGCCTATATTTTCGACTTTTGTGTTTTCCAGTTGTTTAATAAAAGTTCCTGTTTTATTTTCAGCACAATCAGTGCAAAAAAATGGAACCTTACGAGATAGTGTTTGAATAAACCGTACCTCCGTAGTTCCCCACTTCTCGCACCTCCTGCACAGTACCCCCTTGCATCCGTCACAAGGATAGCCAAACTGGTCGTCATTACTTTCTCCTCGCTCTGCTTTTATTCTAAATATGCAAGTTTCATTACACTTGGAACATACTCCACTTGTTGCCATTTTTAGGGACATTCTAGTTAGGGAAAAAAAGAGAAAAGAAAGAAAAAAACCCACCCAATTCAAACAACTCAGTTCTGATGCAAAACGATGGATTTTTTGTCCCAATTAAATCCACGCATAGAAAACATTTACACGAATTTTAATTGTTTTAATATTGTGGTCCCATTGGAAATTTAGGAAATTAAAAAACACTAATAAATTCTAAGTTTTCCACGCCACAGAACAGTATAAAATATGTGTTTAGATTTTAACTTTTTCTATACTAAAACACTAATAAAAGTCACTGCTACTAGTCTTGCTGCCGACCGACGGACTACGTCGGATGCTCCGAAAGAAAGATTTTAGAAAAACTCCAAAAAAAGACATAGATGAGATCAATATACCAAATCTGATAAATATGTCAGGTCATTAGAAGAGGCTTTTAAGGATGTGAGCAGTGTTGCCACCCCTATTACAATCGTAATAGATCTATTACAATCAAGTAATTTCTATTACGCTATTACCAAAGGAAAAAATCTATTACTTTTTCGGGAAAATTTGTTTTGGTGAAAGGGCAATTGAAAAATTTTACAGGCATCATACATTATCACATCAAACCACGCAGAACACTTTAAAAAAACATCTTTTGTCAATGTTGTGTCCGAGGTTGTGTCTTTTGTGCGTGAAAACTGAAAACCGCTGAATGAAAATGCTTCACTTTTCGAATATTCTCGCATACGAAATTTGATACGATTTCGAATGCTCCCAATTCAATTTACATTGCTGTCAGTCAAATTTCGTGTACGAAATGTACTCGAATGAATTCGAAAATACGACCCCAGAATCAGTTCTGAATTAAGCTGCGCATGCGCATTTGTTCATTTATGTTCGGTATGAACAAATGCGTGAGCGCAGTTCAATTCAGAACTGATTCTAAACTAAGTGCATCTATAACTAAAGAATAAATAATCCTATACCTATGTCTAATTTATGGCAACAAAAACTAACGCAAATGAGTAAATTGAGCATAAAAACGCAGTACAAAAAAAATACGGTGCATAATGGTGGAGCGCCTATTCAATATTTTGGTTATCTCTCATGCATAACTGACAGAAGTGACAGATGAAAGAATCTATTACCAAAAAGTCAAATCTATTACAATTTTGCCTTCAATCTATTACATTTAATTCTCGTGAGGTGGCAACGCTGGATGTGAGTAACCTGGGAATGACTATTGAAAAAAATGATGCATTTGATTTACTCTTGAATGTTGAAGAAAAACTTGAAAAAACCCGAGAAAATAATTGTGACTTACAAACTAATGACAATAAAATCTCTTGGAAAATCTTGAAAAAATTATTTTTAACGATAATGAGGTAACAAACGATGGAAGTACAGACATTGGATAAAATGTACTTGCTAATGATTTAGTACTTGTTCAAGATTAAAATCTTTTAGAGGACAATATTGACTTGAGAGATTATTCAGATCAAAAAATTGATATATCTGAGGGCAGCCCTTATCTAAGAGTAACCTTACCCAATGATAAGTAAGAGTCATCAAAAAATCATCATTTCTTTGGTTACTTAATGAAGGAAATAACAGGGTAAGCACGGATCGACAGATTTTTTAAATAAAACAAGGAAGAACGATATAGATGTCCAAGCATCCTTGTCACAATTAGGAAAAAAATCCAAAAATTCAAAAGCCAGAAAACCGAGTAGAAAACAAAAAGGGAATCAGAATAATACCTGAAACAACGATGATTCTGATACAGATCATTCTTCCGATGGAGATGTTATTTTTATGGAATCTGATGATTCTCCATATTTTGAAGAAGAAGAAAGTCCCTCCGAAGATATCAAAGAAATAAAGAGTATTGAGCAGATTAAGAAGGAAGACTTTGTTTTAGTATCATTTGTGGGAGGGAAAAGAAATGCCCAAAAATTCAATTATACATGTATTGTGCAAGAGATCATTGAAGATGATGTCAAAGTTATGGCACTAAACAGTGCAGATTCCCCAAAAAAAATATACATATTTTGTTTCTTTTCAAATAAAAAAGTATTGTTTTTAAAAGGGTCAACACAGAAGGGATAAATATATTGACAAGTTCGAATCGTGAAAATAGAAAGATAAATCCAGATAAAACTTGAAGTGTTTTTGAACTTTTTATAGTAGAATTTCTTAGAATTTTTTAAAATTTCTTAGAATTTTTTTGAAATTTTCAAGAATTTCTTTTAAAAAAAATCAGATTTTTTAGAATTTTTTGAAATTATTTAGAATTTTCTAGAATTTTCAGAATTTTTCGAAAAAATAACATGAAAATTAGCATTTTTTAGAATTTAGTTTTCTATAATTTCAAAGAAATTGGTTGACCCTCGGATTGAACACAGTGTCAATCTGAAATTTCTTGAAACTACAAATATGGTAGTAATAAAAGACAACAAAAAAATATATAATAGAGATCGCAAGCTTAAACTACCTACACTAAGAGTTCTGGTTTCTAAAAGCTGATAAACTTAAAGCTTTGACAGCCGCTGGTAGCTGATTATAAATGTTTGCTGCTTTGTGGGAAAAGCGGTTTTTAAAAAGTTCAGAACTATGGAATGGGATTGTTAAAGAAACTGAAGTATGTCTAAGTTTCTTTGCATGGGCCATACCTCGGAATTTCATCTTTTCATACAAATATCTGGGATGTATTATAGCCAAACTTAGCTTGTGTGTGAAAATGCAGAGATGAATCCATTTTATTTCATTCATATTTAGCCACCAAATGCATCTTGGTGGCTAAACATGACGTTCTTCATGGGATTTGTAATGCAAAATGAACGGAAAAATTCTAAATTTTTTCTGGCCTCTTTGCATCTACAGCACATAAACATGGACCATGGTGTCACAGTAGTTTAATTTGGAGAGTACTAAAGAATCGCGCAGTCTTATTTGCACATTGAAAGATAGTTTTTTAAATTAAAAAGACCTTTAAATGTAAGAAAATAATTTATTTAGGGCTGCCACTTGTTTAACATAATTCAATTTTTTGTCCAGGATAAGACCCAAGTTTCTAACATATTCACTAAATCCCCGACTAAATCCAATTGTTCCGAGGTTCAAGCAAAGCTGACCAGCTGAGATATCTTCACCTTCCTTTTACCTTCAAACCGAGCTTCAAACACAATGGCATCACTTTTAGACACATTAAATGTAAACACCTTCTCGTATTTATCCAATGGATTAAACTTTCTACATATATCTTCGTTCATAGTTAAAATCATACCTACATAAGTTGTATGTTATCTGCATAACAATGAACTTTACAAAAAAATTTAGCTGCATTTCAAGTCTGTGAGGAACGAATTAAACAGCAAAGGACTCAAAATAGGATAAGAAATATGTTCGACTAGAACAGGGGAAACGGGACACTTGTCTACTCTGTACTAGTGAAACATCAAGCTTGATGTTAATCAAAAAAGTCCCAACGTTATTTCAATTTATATTTATGTATTTATTTTTTATTTCATTTTTGAAGAGTTGGCAAACAATAATAATTATGATTGGACAAACATGAAAACATGTGTAATTGATGGGCAAACGAACTGTAGTTTTAGATTGGTTATTTTTAAATTTGGGGGGCTGGAAAGAAAAAAACTAACATAATTTTATTTAGGTATTCAATAACTTTTTTTTTGGGGAGTAAGGAATTCGGTAGGTCTTATACATGCTTAATCAATGAGTAAAGGAACCACATATCTATTGCATTTTTGTACAATAAATTAATTCTCACTTGTGAATTGTGATTAGGTAGGTATACATATATCAAATTGTAATTATTTCTTGGTTGGTGTATTATCTTCATTTTTGTTAATAATCTCTTTTTAAATATAGTTCTAAATATATACTTCTAGCAGAAAAGAATAATTTTTCATGATAGTGAGCAGTGGCCACCGACAGTAAAATAAAGCAGCTTCACTATTACTAGGTTCACCCATATCCATGAGGAGAAAATATACCATTTCAACTTACCATTTGAAGAATACATAATGAAAGAAACAAGTGTCTTTTCCTACAAAATCCCATGACATAAACAGGGTTGATTATATTACAATCCACTTTCGACTACAACTCCATTTTATTACCAATTTTTTATAACGGATTTAACAGGTTGATGGTGCATTAAATTTCTCATAATTTTTCTCTGAATTAGAATCTACTTGAGTTTCAAAGCAATTTAAATAACCACTTAACCACTTCCTTTTGTACTTTTGTATTGTGTACCTTTTTTGTTGTAATAATTCGCAGGTGACAGGTGAGCAATTTGAAACTTGTCACTTGACTTCTCATTGTCAAATGTCAACAATAGGGGTACGTTCGAAATAGCACCGTTCGTTACCCAACACATCACCTCAGATTAGGAAAGCGAATAACATATTTGCTACATATAAACAAACGAAGTTTTTCTTGCGTTTTTTATTTTTTGGGATTATAGGTTATTTATTGACTGCTGGCATCATTTTTGAGGGGACTGCAATGTTCCAGCGGTTGTATTCCAGTTTTTTATAGCTAGCATAGTGCAAAATATTGGAAAAAATTACGATGTGTCCTTAGGACCACACGAAAAAAGGAAAAACTTGAAAAATCAATAAAACGATTAAAACGTAGGTTAAATAAACAAACATCACAAATGCTTGAAAATCGCCGTCATATTGAATCGTGGCATTTGTGATTTGGATCAAGGTTGTTTAAAAGACGGTTGGTTCAACAGCCAGTGTCAAACGGCTGTACAGAAAAAACACAGAGCATATAACCTTTGGAAACGACAACAAACCGCTCAAAACCACACAGAATTTATAGAAGCCAGAAATAGTTGCAAAATTACTATTGACTCCGCTAAAGAAACATACAATCAAAGAATAAAAAACAGGTTGCTGAATTGTCCAAGTAGTTCTAGGTCTTTTTGGTCTCTTGCAAAAGCTGTTGGATCTAACTTCACCAAGTCATCCATACCACCACTTACAGATAATCACTTAGCCACAGCATCAGAGGAAAAAGCCAATATGCTTGCCCAAATGTTTTCCTCCAACTCCAACCTAACAGTGCCAAACGGAAAAACTCCACCGTTCATTGAAAGGGTTTCCCATAGTATTCCAGAGGTACCCTTTTGTCACAGAGAAATACGAAAATCCCTAAAAAAGCTGGATACAAACAAAGCAATGGGTCCGGATGGCATTCCCGCAATAGTACTCAAAAATTGCGCCAACGAACTCACCTCAACTTTCGCAAAATTATTCAATTTGTCTTACAGGCAAGGAGTATATCCATTATCATGGAAGTCTGCCGCAGTACAACCCATTCCAAAGAAAGGAAAAAAGACAGATCCGTTAAACTATAGACCAATTGCTCTACTTCCGGTGATATCAAAAGTAATGGAAAGAGTTGTGAACAATCACCTAACCAAGTACTTGGAAAAGTACAAAATTATCAACGATAAGCAATACGGATTTCGAAAATATAGGTCAACTGGCGATTTACTTACATACGTCACTCACTTATGGCAAAAAGCGATTGAGTTGCGGGGTGAAACAAGAACAATTGCCTTAGATATATCTAAAGCATTCGACAAAGTTTGGCATGAAAATCTGCTCAACAAGCTCAAAGCAATGGGATTATCGCCGAAACTTTGCACTTGGTTTGAAAGTTACCTAAAGGACAGATCCATTTATGTTGCACTGGATGGCCAGAACTCCAACTCTTACCAAATAAATGCTGGTGTGCCACAGGGAGCAATCCTTTCGCCAACTCTTTTCCTGATTTACATAAATGACCTCATAGATAAAACAGTAAATCCACTTTATTGCTTTGCAGACGATGGCAATGTAGTCTCCTCACTCATACCACCCACAGGTCTTTCCGCACGTGAATTCCATCATCTTAGACTAACTCAAATATCGCAGATAAATAACGACCTGGAGATAGTAGAGGACTGGGGTAACAAAAACCTTGTACAGTTCAACGCGCAGAAAACCCAAGCAGCTCTGTTTTCAAAAAAGACCAGCACCGGTGAGCCAAACATTATGCTATCTGGAAGTGCTGTCACATTACAGACTCAGTTGAACATCTTGGGGGTTACTGCAGAGACCAACATGTCTTGGCACAGTCACGTGGCAGATATTGTAGGTAGGTTGCGTTTTATTACAGAGTCCCAGCCCTAATAACTTTTATGACGTCATAGGTATGCCTAAACATTATGCAAATCTCCATAAGAACCACCTGATGACATCATCTGTTTGCCATTACCAGACAACCTATTAGAAGCAATTATTAACATTTTGCCAATGCGATATCGGTAACGTCGCAGAAATTTGTTCCAAGGGGATTCTCGATAAAATCCCAATCGCGGGATCTCTCTGTCTCGCACTGCTCAACGGTTTTATCTCTCGCTTGGCCGAACTCGACTCGGGCCGACTGTATTCGACCGAATGAGCGTTAGCAGTTCGGGCATGACGTGACGGCTCAATCTTATTCAGTAATCACTACCCAGAATTTTGTTTTTGCTGAACGCGCCTAAAGAAGTTTTCACCAAATTTGCCGTTTGTGACACCTCATTTCATGGTGCCCTGGGCCGAGTTCAGAAATAACGCACAGGGTGCGAGTGCGATTTTATGGGTGTGCCCGAATTGACAATTGGCCATTGGGCCCATAGCACCGTCTAGCATTTTTGAACAGCTAGGGCGTCGCACCGGTGTCACACTCACACTGGGTGTGTCATTCCTGAACTCGCCCCTGTTCTATCTCATTCCGTTCCGAAAGTGCAGGACTTATGGCCGTTTCCACCAACTATTTTAGGGGAGCCTTAACGATAAGTATTCCCTAAAATGATATTTTTACATGGAGAAATGTCAGTTTAAGAAATACTTATGGCTAAGGCTCCCCTAAAATAGTTGGTGGAAACGGCCATTAGTCGGAGTAGATTCGGGGTAGGCTACAATATGGTTGCTAAATCGATAGGTATGGCATATTTCTCAAAGCACTTGTGAATGTCCAACGATGTGATTTCCAGAATAACTTTCAAAGCACCTATAAAGTTTGGAAAAAATGCTAAAAGGTTTTCAAAATGGTCCAGAAAGTACAAATAATTACCTACAATCCTACAAACAATCCCTGTAAACTGAAATTTGAGCTTATCTACCCCACATTACATTTCAAACGATGGTCGTTAGGTTTCTTTCTCATCCCTAGCTATAACGATGACATTTGATAGATAGTCTGTGGATGGTAAAGCAGAAGAAAAATACAGACTCTATTAAACCACAGTGGCGACAATTACTGTCCAATTATTGATTTCTCATCCCTAGCTAAAACGATGACATTTGATAGATAGTCTGTGGATGGTAAAGCAGAAGAAAAATACAGACTCTATTAAACCACAGTGGCGACAATTACTGTCCAATTATTGATTGGTTTTTTAAAATCCTATATATTCATATTGAAAACGCCGCCATATTCTTACTTACCTCTTACTAATTTTAAATATGTATATATTATAGGATTTAAATGGACATCCATCATAAAAAATAGGCCACTTTTACGCATGCATAATATACACACTACTACCACAGGATAGCCTATCCTCAAAAGGCCTATGTAGATCAAATCTCAAGCCCTCCACCATGCCAAAGCACCAGTGATGACGGAGGCAGTGTGTCATTTCTCGTCTTGACGTAGGTAGTTTGCACCACAGGTTATGATTCCGCGGGCTTTTGCTTTATGCATACTTGGTTTTAGTACACTAATTAACATTCTAAAGATTTGCATTTGCATCTTCCTCTTTGCCTATTATGCTAATCAAAATTAAATATTATTTTTCATCATGGAGGTTTACCGTTTAAAGATCGTTATCGTTCCATAGTATTCCAGGATTGCCAGGTATGCTAACTCAAGATCCTGCAATCCTTGCGTTGTTTAGCTGCCCTCTAATGAGGTGAGTTCAGCTTTAACATAAAGGGTATTTCTGGCATGACATTGTACATGAAATATGTCTAGAATTTTCCGCAGAATCCAGAAATGTCATAATAAATATGCAGAGGGTATAGGTACCATTTTAAAAAATGAAGTTGATAACGGTAAAGCTGTTGTTGGAACACCCTGTATAAAAAAATTGGTGTGTCCGCGCGTTTTTTCCAAAACGCCTTCATTTATTTTATATTGGATATGTTCCATACTTTAGGTTCACCCTTTATATTTGAAAAAAATCGTACTTTTCCTTATCAGTGCGCAAAGGTATGTTTTCCCGCACGCGAAAGCACTTAGACGAACGACGCGAAGCGGAGTGCGGACTTCGGATAAGCTTTAAAGTGCAGGAAAACTACTTTAAGAACAGTATGTTTTTCTGGCCGTACAATAACTATACAGATTTTTTTAATTTTCAATTTTTATTGCCATCCAAAAACAACAACTTATAACTACCTATATCCAAATCAGGCAAAAAAATTCCTCCCCCCCCTGCGGGGCTATGCCCCCAAGTAGGGGGCCTGCGCGGGGCGGTGCCCCCCAATTCGGAGGCACCCGCAGGGCACATGAAAACACAAGGCTAAACGAACGGAAGGACTGACTCCAGACTGGCGAACTGATAAAAGGTCATCAGGTCAAGGTTGTAGTCCCGATAATCGTTGTCACTGTCAAACTCGTACCTCGCGCGCCATCTATACGAGTAGATCGAAACAAAAATCCTAACCTATGAACTATTTCATTTCTTTTTTCAGCGTGTCCCACGTGTGGATGTGTTTGCTTTCGGCCTGTATTTGTATTGTTTACGATTTCGATGTTGTAAAAATTTATTTTAATCCAATTCTCTAGAGTGGTGTTCTCATAATAATCAAAAATGGCAAATGAAAAGCCGTACAAATTCAATGAAAATATTATTGTGCCGGTCGTTCAAAGTAACGGCCGTGTAGAAGAAAAGGGCCTGTACATAACTATTTGGGAAGATGCTGATATGGATAGATTGGTAAGACTATTCAAATAATCTTCAAAGCAACAAGAAATTCTACAAATGCTCACGCCAGATTTTAATTTTGAAAAATCGGTACAGCAAATAGAAAAAAGGTTGCCTAAAAAAACGATTCCCCCCTGCCCCTCCGTCTCTGTGGGGTGCAAAAATAAAACATTGCATTTTTGATATATTATTTTATTTTCACTCATCTACATATTTTTCATAAGATTCAAAATTTTTGATAGTGTCCTCGCCTTTGCAAATTTTTAAATACCAAATCCTAAATCACAAGAGACAACCTCCGCTACCATTACTAGAAACTGTAGAAAGAGGGGGTACATAATATAATAATTTTATGGTCTAGAAAAGAAAAGAACGTGGTTTTATAGTCGGCACTTGTCGTTGTCGAGCGAACTGAATGTTTGAAGGTAGGCAACCCACAATGTCTCTAGCCGGTGGGCGTTGATCAAGGAAAACATGCGTGCACATTCGCGAGAGGTGAGCGGCGAGCGATGCGCGGTGAGCGATGAGCGTCAACGTAAAATATTTCGAACAATGAAGTATAGATTAGACTGTGGTGTGTACATTGCAATGAGCGATGACCGTTGGCGTTGCGCGGTATCGCATCGCGCCGCTTTGTTTTGGTTTTTGATCGAATATGCCCCTTGCATCAACATTTTTTATTGCTGATTTCGATAGTCTATGAAAAATAAGTCAACACTTTTTTTTTTTTTTTTTTTCTTGTTAGTCAAAAATTGACGAAGATAAGTACAACGCTTTGAAATGTCCTTCTGACGTCATAACATATAATACGTTGTGACGTCGCACATGCTCAGTATATCTATATATACAAAACTTAATGTTTGTATAACTTTCGAAATAATCATATTTGGACAAAATAAATAAACGATTTTTTTTCGATTTCCTACAGGTTGCAATAAACAATAATCAATTTAATTTTCCATGCAAGTACCCTATTGCAAGCGGCACCGCGACACGGATAGAGTAGATTGGAATGTAAGTTATTCCACGCAGGCACGCTTTCAATATGTCTTCCCAAAAAGGTGATATCGGCAGAGAATTATACAGGGTGTTTGGTGCATCGTTTGCCAAATTTAACTGCCCGAAAGAGGGGGCCATTTGCTAACTCTTCAGCCATAAAAACTCATCCTTGACCCACGGGTTTTTTTCTTAATTTGATTTTGCTATTTTTTTTTGAATCTCAAAATTCGCCATTTAAACCTAAATTAAAAAAAAAAGTTGTTGGCCTAGCCTCCAAATTTCATTTTTATTTTCATATGTACTGTGGTATATGGTTCCACCAAATACAAAATTACTTGCCATTAAGGTCTTATTTACGTTTTCATACCAAATATCGAATATTAGCCTGCTGTGTTCCGATACACAAATTTAGCAAATAAGTGAAGATGTTAAAATATTTTTTACATATTATACCACTGGAAAGGGGATAAAACAGAGAACTTTTTAATAGAATTTGAAGATCACGATCAACTTTAGTTTTTTTTTTTTTTTATTGCATTGGAAATTTCACTTTTCAATTTATTTTTACCTGTTTCAAAATTTTTATCAGTTACCTAATAATAAAAAGACTAGACGTTAATGGCAAGTAATTTTGTATTTGGTGGAACCATACCACAGTACACATAAAAATACAAATAAAATTTGGAGACTAGGCCAACAACTTTTTTTTTAATTTAGGTTTAAATGGCGAATTTTGAGATTTAAGAAAAAAATTTAAAAAAAAACAAATTGAAAAAAACCCTAGGGGTCAAGGATGAGTTATTATGGCTGAAGAGTTAGCAAATCGCCCCTTCTTTCGGGCAGTTAAATTTGGCAGACGATGCACCAAACACCCTGTATATTTCCTGGGTCCAATCAAGAACTGTTTCATTGAATGATAAAAACAAAAATTACAAGAAACCTACAAAAAATTACAAAAGACTTTCAGCTGGTGAAATTGGCTTTCTGAAATTTGTTTTCTACTTTGGCGAAAATGTCTTCGAAAGTTTCAACGGACATACGAAGGAACTCAAAAAACCTGGACGGACTACAGCGAATTCCATGATACAAAATATGATATATAATAAATATTAGACGACTTTGATTCAATTAACTCCTTTTCTTTTTTATTTAATTAAAATTAATCGAGCTTAACGTGGGTTTTCAACTAGTAACTGTTTAAGCATCAAAACCGAAGTGTGTGGTAGAAAACCGTCGTGTTTTTCTACCACACACTTCGGTTTTGAAACGACCGACGTGTTTCATCGCGATGAAAACCGACGAGAAAGAACGTAGTGTATGGGGCCCTTAAAGGGGGTGTGACCCTTAAAAACGACTTAAGCTACTTAAATCAAGAAAAAAATTCTAAGATCTCTCGTGAAAACCGCAGTCCTATATTTAAAATAGTCTTCGAGAAAATTCCTTGTGAAGATAAATTATGCAGGAACTTGTGATGTCACAACCGCCGAAATCGCAGTCTTCTGTTCGTTTAGTCGTCAGTGAACCGTACCCTATAATTTGAGTGGTTGCAATTCGCTCTAGGAGATAATTGTCTTTTGTTTTGGAATATTCTTACACGTGTTAATACTGTCCCTGATAATCAAGTGTGACGTCACAAACGCTTAATTGTAACTTTAAACCGCTGTAACTCGAAAACGGATCATCGTAGCAAGATGCGGTTTAAATATACACTTCGCATCAAAATTAACGCACCACTAAAATTTGGCACAATTTCAAATTTAATTTTCTCGGAAACTGCTGAATCGATTTGGACATATTTTCTTTTTAATTGTAGCTTAAATCTTCAGGAATGACTCTGTAAAACAACTTTTCATTTGAATCGAAGTTTTAGGCATATACAGGGTGAAATCAGTTTGATGCCTAATTTTTGTCACATCCTGTGGGACTTTCCATCTGCACCAATAGATGTCTATCTAAATCAAAACATAGCCCCATCTTTTCTGAGCATTTTGTTTTTTTATTCACGTTTCTAGCTCTGTTATTTAATGAAATATGGAGTTTGAAGTTAAAAGCGTTTATTTGAGATTATTCAAGAAAAAGTTTCGGAAGTTAACAAAACAAAAATAAAATTATTGAAAAAATAATGTGGAAAAAAAAACATTCAATATCGGGTGTTTCTTCCCCTACTCTCTATTACCGGTTGACATCGACGACCCATACTTTGAACCAGACGTCTTATTTGTTCTTGATCGATATTAATCCAAATTTCTCGAACAAAGTTTTCTACATCATTCAAAGACACAGGTAGGGGTTGATGATCTCTAAGCTGCCTACCAATTTGATCCCATAAATGTTCTATAGGATTGAGATCTGGACTGCGTGAAGGCCAGTCCAGAGTCTCAATATCCACCTCATTCAAATAATCTCGCACTATTCTCGCAGTGTGTGGTCTGGCGTTATCTTGCATTAGTAAAAAGTTATCCCCAATATACCCAGCGAAAGGGACCACATGCTCTGACAAAATTTCCGTGATGTACCTTGCACTATTTAAAGGTCCTCCACGCAAAGACACGATGTCAGTACGAGCAGTTAAGGAGATTCCGCCCCAAAACATCACAGACCCTCCATTGAATAACTCGGTTTGGCGAATATTACACTGCGAGTAACGTTCATTTGGTCGTCAAATAACCCTTACTCGTCGGTCGTTGCTGTAAAGACAAAACCTTGTCTCATCTGTAAACAGAACTCGCTCCCAATCTTCAGCATTCCAGTTTACATGTTCCCTGGCAAATTGAAGTCTTGCTCGTATATGGTCTGCATTTAACCTTGGTCCTCTTGCTGGAATTCTGAACCTTAAATTTCTTTCTGCCAGACGTCTCCTTACAGTTGATACACTAACGTTGATATTGTGAGCAGTATTTAATTGTACCCTTAGTTGTCTTGAGGTCACAAAACGTTGCCTCAACGCATTCAGTTGCAAAAATCGGTCATGGATAGCCGCTGTTCCCCGAGTTCTTCCTTGTCCACGGCGCCTGTTGTGGTCATTGGTTTCTTCAAAACGGCGAAATATGCGCAATATTGTCGAATGAGAAACACCCAATCTTCTACCTACAGCTCGGTAGCCCATTCCTTCCTGGATCAACGTAGTCGCCATCACACATTCATCTCGAGTTAAATTTCTTGTTTGACGCTCCATATTTTGCAATGATAACACCAAATGCAGAGAAATTACAGAATAAATTCAAAAATCACTGACAGATAAAGACAGTAGTCTCTGTTTCCATGACAATATCGCGCCTTTGTTTTCCATGGCCTACTTAGATTTACTTACCTGACGGTTATAACTCTTCTTCTTCTTCTTTCTTCTTTTTTCCACATTATTTTTTCAATAATTTTGTTTTTGTTTTGTTAACTTCCGAAACTTTTTCTTGAATAATCTCAAATAAGCGCTTTTAACTTCAAACTCCATATTTCATTAAATAACAGAGCTAGAAACGTGAATAAAAAAACAAAATGCTCAGAAAAGATGGGGCTATGTTTTGATTTAGATAGACATCTATTGGTGCAGATGGAAAGTCCCACAGGATGTGACAAAAATTAGGCATCAAACTGGTTTCTTTTAAAACACCCTGTATGTGCCTAAAACTTCGATTCAAATAAAAAGTTGTTTTACAGAGTCATTCCTGAAGATTTAAGCTACAATTAAAAAAAAAATATGTCCAAATCGATTCAGCAGTTTCCGAGAAAATTAAATTTGAAATTGTGCCAAATTTTAGTGGTGCGTTAATTTTGATGCGAAGTGTATATTCTTGGATTTTTTTGCACTAAAACTTTCATTTTTGGGTCACATCCCCTTTAAGGGCCCCATACACTACGATGAAACACGTCGTTCCACAACCGAAGTGCATGGTAGAAAACCGTCGTGTTTCATCGTAGTCTGTGGGGCCCTGTAGAAAACCGTCGTGTTTTTCTATTAAGGGCCCCATACACTATGATGAAACACGACGGTTTTCATCGCCACGATCAAACACGTC